AAGCCAAATACGTAAAATGTTTATTGGCAGYGTAGAAGTGTAGAACATGATAACAAAAAAAACCGGTGTAGGATAATGAACCTGAATAATGTTATTATTATTTAATTTTGAAGTATTCAGATAAGAGAAGTAGCGACGCGTGGAACTGTCGAAGTCGATAACCGGCAGCAGCAGCCGTTGAACGCAATCATGAAACCACACCGATAAATTATTATTATTCATGTAAATACGAAATCGTTCGATACGTTTTTAATATTTTATTTTACATGCCTCAGACAGATTTTTATGAAAAATATCAAATCGGCTCTGGACACGGTGTTTAAAATAATAAAATCTCTGCAACGCGAAGTGTAGTAGTGTAGATGTTGAGTGTTACGAATCGCTAAAACTGGCGGAGAAAACAGACGAGCGTCTTATAAATATCTCTTTTGATTTAATAGGTCATCGTTGATGGGTTATCGGCCGCCGTTTAAGTATTTATTATATATTGTGTCTTTGTAGTAAAATGTAACAACAATGCAATATTGTATTGTAGAGGGCAACCGAGAGCCAAACAGTGGCGAGGAGACGGACGTTTTTGTTTACCTTGTAAATTGCGCAAAACATGCACGCGYGATATATACTCGCCGCCGCCGTCCGAAGAGACGCTATTATTATACGCCGGCGTTTTCATTTATTTTTTAACAATAATATTATTATTTTCGTCCCGAAAACTGTGAGACGATAGGCCGTGGTTTTCTTTTGGTTAATCTTATGTTAAAAAAGCGACAGCCAACGACTCGCAGTCACGTGGCGTCCATAAGAAAAACACAAAACGTCCGATTTAAATTCTGAAGGTGCGCAATTAAAAAATATATTATACGATCAATGCGTCCGTACGCAATATTATTTTTCCTCGTGTCGACGTCTATGATAATTTTATTAATATTATTCGGGCGCGTGTGTGTGCTGCGATAATATTATTATTATATTTATAAAATGATGATGATAATCAGCGTCACCGTGTACCGTCCGAAAATAGTACATAAATAATATACACAGGGTGTCCCACGGAGATCTGTCAAATGAAATAACTTTTGTTTTAATCAATATTTTTTAAAAATTTCTGTTAAATATAATTCATAGATTCTTGTGCTACATTTTTTTCGAAATATTCAATACAGCCAATTTGTAAATCGGATTTTCAGAAAAATGTATATGGTAAAAACACTTATTTAAGTCAAATAGCTGGTCTTTTAAAATTTTTTTTAAACAWCAATATTTTCGTCAAGTAAATTACGATCTAGTTTATGTTAGAAACATTTTAATTTCAAAAAATATTTTATATGAACATTTTATAGATTCATGTTAAAATCTAATACATTTTTTATTGTATCTACTATTTTATTACAATAATATTGTTTGGTCAATAAACTCATTTTTAGAAATTAAAATGTTTCTAACATAAACTAGATCGTAATTTATTTAACGAAAATAGGTATTGATATTTAAAAAAATTGTAAAAGACCAGCCATTTGAATTAAATAAATGTTTTTATCATAACATTTTTTCTGAAAATCAGATTTACAAATTGGCTATGCCTATTGAATGTAAAAAAAACAACTTTTATCAACTTTTAAGTTCTTTATTTTCAGTATTATATAATAAAAAATAAAAATGTTTTCTAAAAATGTAGCGCAAGTGTCTATGAATTATATTTAAAAAATAACGATTAGAACAAAAGTTATTTCATTTTTCAGATATTCGTGGGACACACCCTGTATATATAATATATGCATATATATACGAGAAAAAAACGGGTGCGCTTTTTGTTTTTTTTTTCGCGGTGCAATTAATGTTATTCAAGTATTCAACGGGAATATTTATTGCAATGATTGAATAATAACATTAAAATTTATAATAATTATTGCCGTTTCAAGCGATCCGGCCGATTTTGATTGTTTGTTTWTTCAACAAAGAGGTGTTTGCATATTTATCAATATCATAAATAACATCGTAAATAACATAACCTACATAATATTATTGTGTGATTCACTGGTAAAGTGCATTTCGGCGACGGCGTTTGAACATGCSTGATTATAAAATATTGGTTTTTTTCGAGGGTTTTTATTATAATATCATTATATTTTATATTATATTATTATCATTTCATATTATACAAACTGCACGAGCATTAAACGTCGCTATATAGATACTTACTCGAGAAAAAACGTTGACAACGTTCGACGAATTGTTTAATGTTTTTGTTCGGTTCTCAATCGATATTATATTATCTTTTATGTATACCGTACCACCTACCTATAATAATGAAATTATTCCAACTTTTTATATAAGCAATGTTGTCGTCGATACACGATCAATAAAATTATTTATTTTTATCAAATTTTCAAGTGCTCTACTAAAACAACCCTGGGGTAGGTAATAGAATGAAAAATACGAAAAAAAATAGTATTTAAATCTCATAAGTAATAACATAACCTAGAAAACCCAAATCATGATTAAAATATACATTAGGTACCATCATAATATTATCAAGATTCCTAAATGCCAGTATAAATGTATTAATATTTGTATTTAAATTAAAATAAGGGTTATAATATTATTTTATTATGCATAGGTGTATAGGCACTTGTACAACTAATCTTAATATACCTAATAAAATGATTGGTTTGTAAATAAAACATAAATCCAGTAGGTAACTAGGTAATACAAATAAATTAATGTATTATGTACGTTGTACAACAGAAGGTAGGTTAGGATTTATCTACTAAAATAAATCTGGAAATAAAAATATTGTATTAGGCTTCATTAACTTGCTTGTAAAATATGAAAATATTACTATGTACCTACTAGTTGAGCTTATTATATTAGTTTAGCTTTAAATAACAATATAAGCAAAAGGATTATGATGGAAAATTAATAATTATGTTGATTAAATATAATTAGAAGGCACATAATATGTAGCAAGGTGAAATAATAGGCACCTAGTATGTTGGCACCTCATTTTAATATCATGCTATAAAACAATGTACTTGTTTTCTGCAATGAACTATGTTTTTTTTTTAACTAATTGATTAAAAACATTTTTTAAAACTAGATAATATTATAATGTAGATACAAGTAGGTAGGCACCTATTTTAACTTGACAAAATTATAAAATCATTTTTTTTTTATGATAATAACTATTAGGTATTTAAATATTATTAGGTAAATGTCTTGATAAATGAGCACATTATCTAATGGGCTATCTACATTAATTTACAAAATATTTAATAACTATGAAACTAAAGTTTATATCTCTATTTAGTTYAGTGGATACTTGTAAAATAAACACATCAAAGATCTTGAATAACTGTACAAGTTAGGAATGTAGATAGTAGATAACCTCTATCAAATATAGTGGTGGCATTATGTAATTAAAGAATGATATTTAAATGTCGAAGCCAAAGATGAATTTAAATATCTAAGTCAAACGTTAAACTGCTGCCTACTTAATTCAGTTAAAAAAAACTTTCTAATCTGGTAAGTAGGTATTCATATTTTAACATAAAAATTTAACTATCCCATATTAATTACCTAATTACCCATCACAGTGAACAAAATTTGAGAAAAAAACATTTGATAAGTATTCCAGTGTACAAGAATAACAATTGAGAATGTATTTAGATGTCTAGGTTTTTTTTATTAATAATCGTTTCAATGGAATCGCCAGTAGGGAAAAGAAAATCGATCTAAAATCCAAGTATGCAGGGCTAGGGATAGGTTGAGGATATAAGCTATCATATAAACTGCAATATAGGGAGATGGGCAGCGCACATAGATACTGTGTTTATTGGCAATCGAAACGATTGACTGGCAACACGGAAAGTGCAGAGGCCAAGGCGAAGAATAGGTACCAAATTAATTTAATCGGTGTGCAGACAGGCCGATTGCAGCATTCGGTCTCTATCCGCAAGACCATAAAATATATGTACCTATGCCTACAACACTACCCAACACACTTCAAACACTGATTGTGTGTCGCAAGCAGTAAGCACCGACATCCTTTCGTCCCTCGACAGCCCCCCCCTCCCAAACAAAAAAAAAAAAATAAAAAAATTAGCCCATCGCACCCCGTGTTAGGGGTAACTCGTAACTATCAACTGAACGTCGGCACCGCTCACCTGCAATCGTTTTAGTCGTCCGTCTCTGGCGGAATAGAACACCGAGGCTGCGATCGTTTCAATGTCGTTCATGTTACATCCGCTGTCGTCGGACCTAACACGATGGCATGTCGTCAACAGCCGCGAGGCGCGCGTCCKGAGAGCCGTGTTTACAAGTGTTTGCTTACCACGAAATACGACACAAAAGGGGGGGCACGCACTGACCCGGACAATGACGATCAACGACTCGACGGGGGTGGCGGACGGAAGACCGCTACGGCAAAAATATTATAATATTATTATCTAACAGTCGCCGAGTCGTGGCAAAATCGGGCACTCGCGAGTAATGGACTTAATCACAGTGAAACTCACGAGCTCTGACAGAGTCTATCGCTTACACAATCGGGTGATTCGCGGAAATACTCTAGACGGTGCGCGGTGATCGTGTGGATATCGCGACGTTGGCGACTGCGAGTGCCGCTCAACAGAATCGAAAACCAAACTGTCGTGTGGCGGTGCGACGACTGACACTGACGGCGGTCGACTCCTCGGTGGCTCGGTCGAGTCGACGAACCGAATGAACCGACGGACGTGAGTAGAACACAAAAAACGTCGGCGGCCGGGTGGCGGTGGCAACAAGACGACTATGATAGCGACGGCCGTTCGCTTTGTCAGTTGACCTTGATCGCGTCCGCAGTGTCCGCGGTGCAACAACGACGGCAGCAGCTGCGCATTTGCGGCAGCGTCAGTCGCTTCAGCAGCAGCTGATCGCGTGTAGAACGCAACACACGGCGCGCGCTAGCGGTAAGACCCACGATGTAGATATAATAATAATAAATAATAATATTATCTATAATCGTGCACAAAACACAACCGCGACATGTTTTTGTCCATTCTATGACTCGGTTACCCGGTTCGACCAAAATCATAATAAAAATATTTTATCAATAATCATAATGACAATTTCGTATTGGCATATTTTGGCATTTAGTATTTTACTATTTACCATTTGGCGGTAAAGTGTAGCTCACCCGGTCACCCGTGCTCGTCGTCGCCAGTTTACACTAACTTACGACTCACGACTTCACGAGTCGCGATATCGTTATTGCGTTAAAGCGTGTCGGTTACGCGCTCAAAAGGAAATTGCTGAAATATAATGACAATTTTATCGTTATTTGTTTCCTCCTTGCCGTTTATTTGACGCATTATAATATGTATAAATATAATCTATTATTTGGTTGCACGAGAGCTATTTAAAGCGGCCGACGTCAGCGTAACTTTCTATATGCAGAATATGCTTTCGACGTTGGCATCTGGCCACTGTCCGATCGTCTGTTGTCTGTTGTCGTCGGCCACCGTAGCTCACGGCTGACGACTACGGCGCGGAAGGGTGGATCATTGTTCAGAGGTTCAGATTGTTCTGAGCTCAGTCGTCCGACGTGAGCGAGTGCCGCGTGATCATGTTCCCATCAGAGGGATTTTTCCGGAACGTGTTCTTCCAGCCCTACAACGACCGRGGCTCGGCTAAAGTGATTAACTCGGCCAAGAGTAAGTCTTAGCACGCACACATCCCATCAGAGGTGTAGCCAGGGCGAGCTAAAGTAGTTAGGCCCTATAATACACTATATCGAAAAAATGATTTCACAAAAACCCTATAGGTAACCTCTCCCTTCACCCATACAAAATTCCTGGTTATGCCAATGCACCCTGACTTAGCTGACGACGAGAATGTGCCATGTGCCCATTTATTACATTTTTGCACCCCATGGTTGTAATTTCAATTTTTCATTTTAGCACATCTTGTGTGTGCATATTTACTTATAGTAATGTAATTAATGCTAATAGTTTGCAGCAAATGCAGTATATCACTTTTTTAGACCAAGGTTTGACTTCTATAATAGCCTGTAGGGTGTTTCTTGTACCAGGTGCCTTGTCACTACCAAAATATAATATACAACTTGATATTGCTCGAATGATGTCGTTGTACATCAATATACATACATTTTTTTTCTTTATTAAAGTTTTTTTGACATAAATCATCTAGCGTCACTAGCTTTACCAACATTTAAAAAAAATATAATAATAAGAAAACGAAACAAAATAACTTAACRATTGTTATTATAATAGCAACATGGCCACATGTGGATAAATCCCTTTACAAATTTTCATTAGTTGGTTAGTTTGTGATGATGACGACTTAACAGGCCGACTGGAGTTTGCTGCCTTAGGTCTTACGTTCTGTGTTGCTATTTTACGTGCAGGGCCTCAGCCCTCCATTTTCTTGTCCTGTCTATTACTTTCCTCGGCCTCCTTTTCCCGCGCCTCCTCTTTTTTAAGGAGACTACCATCTTGTACCTAAAAGATCCTAAACATCTCTTTTGTGCATCATTAAGCACCTTGGTTCTTGCTTAGGTTTTTTGGTGGTAAACCCTCGAAAGCTGGGCTGTATTGAATGGTCGTAACTCGTAAGACGTCCCAGGTATAGGCTCCTTCAGTAACTTTGTAACCTAAGATCTAGACATGAACAGTCGGATCTCTGTAATCCGATAGATATCAAACCAGGGCATTGCTGGATTAACGAAAACACCAGATTAATGAAAGTTCACTTAAGAACACATTTTTACTTATTGGATTTTACATATTTATTTATATTAAAAACCGAATAACATTATYGTATTTTATTCAAATATGTCTATTATGTGTATATACGAGTACATACTAATTTATTACATACTAAGTTCAATTAAGTTTCTGATAAAATGTTAGATGATTAATAATTATTGCTCATTAAAAAAATAGTGTGCAATGTATTTCAATGGATATCAAAATTTATTTACAACCAATAATATTGTATTATAATAAAAATGTGCAATAATAACTAAATTACTATATTATTTTAAAYCGATTTGTTAAAATAAYGATAATTTTCAACAATATTGCACAACATTTTTCATGGGTGAGATAGGGACAATCATGCATATTATAATTCCTTAGGAAGAAAATTTTGTTAAATTCTGTGTATAATTTATATGTATATGTTTGGTATAACCCAGAGGAAGTTGTGGTATCTTAAACTAGAGGTAGCGTGAACATTTTTCATTCATGAGATAAAAACAATTTTAGGGACTACCCCTCCCCAAAATTCTCGGATAAAATTTTTCACTCGTCATCTACTGACTATTTACCACTAACCCATCAACCCACCCCAAAGACCCAAAAAGCCATAAGATCCGGGTCTCGTAGAACCTTTTTCACACCGCCACTACTTTAAACACCCCCTGTGTGTATCATTGGTTTATAGTATATTCTTAAACAACTCATTTTTATTTACAGATAGTATGCATTTTGTACAACGTCTTGATTTGGAAAAAATTTTGGAAACTCATCGTGGATGTGTGAATTCTGTGAGTTGGAACGATTCTGGATCTTTATTACTTACAGCTGGTGATGATAAACACATAGTCATTACTAATCCATTCTCATATAATGTTCTTGTTGATTTTAAAACAAAACATAAAACCAATATTTTTTGTGCAAAATTTTTACCAACGTCAGACAACCGTATAATTTCATGTGGTGCAGATGGTTCTATTCTCAATCTTGGTAAATATTCATGTGTATTTGKTWATTTAAATTCTATTTGTATTTTTATTTACCTATTAGATTTGGAAAGACCAGAGGAAACAGAGTGGAATTTCTTTACTTGTCACTGTAGTCAATGCTATAAACTAGAAACAATACCCAACGAACCTAATATATTTCTAAGCTGTAGTGAAGATGGTACAGTTCGCCAATATGATCTCAGAACTGGTGCTAAATGTACCATACAACATTGCAATGATGTAAATCAAATGATTTTTATTTAATTATGCATATTATAATACTTACTGTCAACTTTTTTTTATTCAATTCAAACAGCATGAACTCATTGATTGCGGTAAACCTGTTTCTACCATTGCGATAAATCCAGTTAAACCTTATCAACTTGCGATTGCCACAATAGATAGCATAGTTAGAATAGTTGACAGAAGAAAAATTATGAAAAATAGTAAGTCATACGTTTAAAGAGCAACCATTTTATTTATACATAAGTTTTAATAAGGTAGGTATGCGACMCATACCTTTTACTATTATTTCTACCAAGTTTTTTCAGAGTAATATAAATTTACAAGTAAAATATGGGTTTTAGTAATAATCTCAGCTTGTAAATTTGTAATGTAGGAAAAAAATTTCTTATATTTAAATTTCTTTGTTTTCCTTCCAAAWTGAAGGTAAACTAATTTTATTTTAAATCTTCTTTTCAGATTTATTTCAAAATATTGTTCCTGAATTTTCCTTTACTGTTCCTCATTTAAATCATCGTGATTATCGTGTAACATCACTTTCATACTCACCTGATGGCAGAGACRTGCTTGCCAGCTATTCCCATGAAGAAATATATCTGTTTAGCCTCAGTAAAGATTCTTGTACAACAGCAGTTGCTAACGACTTTTTAGAAAATGCTCCAAGTCCACCGCCATACAGACGGATAAGATTAAGAGGTGACTGGACAGATACTGGTCCTTTATCTCGACCATCTACTGGTATGAAACTATGAAATAATATATGTTGTGTCTCAAGCACCAGGTGCTTAAATTATAGGGTTTTGGGTGCTCAGTCACACTGTGAAGAATTAGGCATCCGGTGACAAGGTTGAGTATCCTCATGGCCACATTGTTTAGAGATACAGAGCCAAGTGCTTTGAAGTATGTATACAGTATACAGTTATTGAGTAGTCAGAACCAGTAGTTAAAATATATATCCTAATAATACTAACAAATTGATTACAAGAAAATTGTATTCATTTTCCATAAAAGATAGAATTCTCAAAATATTTTCATTATTTTTGAGCTTTTCATTGGCATGAGAGATTTTTAGTTTTTTTAAAAATGTATTCAATAAATAATATTTGGCTCAGTCTAAAAACTTGAAACAAGATTCCTCATGAGTTGTTATAGAGTATTAAAAATAAAAACTAATAAGTTACATTAATTAGTACTAAAAGCTGACAGACGGTCTTCACTCAAAATTATGTTTGATATACAATGATTTTATATCAATTAATTCAAATTTTACACTTCAGTGACCCCATGTCATTTRATGCATGTTACAGTGGTATCTACATGTCCAACAGTCCAACTCATTTATTGTATTCTGCTATAATTTTTGTGAAAACTATATATTTTTAGATAATATTTCTTATAGTTGATTTGTTAGTTATTAGGAAATACTTAAGATTCAAATTAACTGGGGAGCTAATCTGTAAAACTACTGTTCACTGTATAGCGCTCAGCTCTGTGCCTCTGAATGGAGTGGCTCAGTGTCTGATATTCGCCCAGCGCCCTWTTATTCCTTTGAGTGTTCAGTGCTCTAAATTTAGTGATTAATATTTTTAAAAGTAGTAAATGAACCAATTAGAACGAAAAATGTAATAGTTTAATTGAATTGTAAATGATTTAACATACACATTATATAAGAAAATAATGTAATTTATTAAGTTGTTCGTAMGAAATTAAATTAAATATTCTCTTATATTAAAAGTTACATAATATATAATTATAAATTTATTTGTAGTATAATGTTGTTGAGARTATAAATAAAAAAATAAAAGTTCTCACTTTGATTCCACACTAATATTTAAGTTTAGGCTACAAACCACTCCTTATGTATCAAAATACTTAAWCAAATGTTTCATTATTTATGCCATGTAGATAATACTGATAATCTTTCAACGTCAATAATACAGTCTCAAATTATGGATCGAATGAATGAAATGCTGATTAATGTRTTAAACACACCATTATATTCTGTCTTTTTACGAAATTGTGAGTGAATGAATTTTAAATCCTCATTATTTTATATTGATGTATAGAATTGTATATAATATGTTGATTATATTTTAGGGAGATCAAATTATTCTCCACCAGTTTCAGCATCTTTGAGACATATTAATAGTACAATTGAACCACAAGGTGAATCAGACGAATTTGATGTTCATCACAATGATGATAGTAACCTAAACTATGAAAGAATGGCTCTTGAAGTGTAAGTTAAAACATTTTTTTACATTCTTTTTTCTAAGTTTATTTATAATTATTTCACCTATTAGAAAAATAATAATACGGTACTCAATTATAAATGCCAATTGAAGCTTGTATTAGTTTAGCAATATTAAGAAATAAATAATACATTTGTAAATATGAAAAAATATGTAGTTTGAAAATTAGTTTAATGACAATTTTTAAATTAATTTGAATTTCCCTTATATTAGGTTAGTCTTATGGTTAAAATTGTATATTATCCTATTATTATCAGCAATCATATTATTTTAACAATAATATTTATGCATAATTATTTATTATAGCGCCAGATCAAATGAAAATAATATTGAACAGTCTACTTCAAATAGCTATTACCAAAAAGTTAAAAATAAATCAAATACTAATAAAAAACCTCCAGTATTTGATGATTTTGTTGCACTYCAAGCAATTAAAGCACAGTATAAAGGTCACAGAAATGCTAGGTAAATCCACTATATTTTGATGGTAAATTGTCAAAATAATGTGTTTTTTAAACTTTTTCAGAACTTTAATTAAAGAGGCAACATTCTGGGGCAATGATTTCATTATGTCAGGCAGTGATTGTGGACATGTGTTTGTATGGGATCGCTATACATGTGAAATAGTGATGTTGCTAATGGCAGATGCTCATGTAGTTAATTGTATTCAACCACATCCTAGTAGGCTTTTATTAGCAACTTCTGGCATTGATCATAATGTTAAACTCTGGAGTCCAAAAAGTGTTGATGTAATGTTTTTTCAATCRTTTGCTACAGAGGTAAAAACTAAAAAGTTAACTATACATTTTATACTTAAATAATTAATTTTTGATTACATTTTTATTTTAATTATTGAAATGCTTATGTATATTATGTCACTTATGAGTTGTGCACATATGATCACAATTTGTTAGTTTTAACTTGTATATATTGTGTTTAATA